TGTTCTCTCTCCATGTCTTGTGAGAAAATGTGGTTTATTGCATTTATAGAAACAAATGGCCACAGGCATGTTGTGCTGTCAATGGCATGTGTGTGTTCAGGGCAGCTCAAACATGTTCCTGTGTGGGCCACATGGGCTTGTATTTGCAAGCATTTGTGTCAAAGAGCTCATGAACGTGTGGATTAAGAAGAGAAGTGTGTTTGTGTGGGTGTGGGTGTGTGTGTGTGTGTGTATGTGTGTTTGAGTATGTGTTTGTGTTGGTGAACTTTCACCCCTGTTTATTTTGGGATGGCTCAAATGTCAAAACCCAGAGCTCTGGATAAAGGCAGATAGCAGTGGAGAGTATTAAGCACTATCTGTCTGACTGTAACCCACTTCAACACTTACATCTGCTTTGAGCCATTTCATTTTGTACACTTTAACTAGTCAGCAACACATTTTTCATCCAGAAAGCTCTTTTATCCTCTGTAAACAAACTTGAATATAACTACCCTTCTTTCTTCAAGAACTAGACTTCAAGACCATTAAACTTGTTTGTTGGAGCCATGCACTTTCCGATGCAGTTCGTAAACTGTAGTTTAAATAGAAGAAAGCTTGTAAAACACAAGGCCCTCCCTGCATGCTATTAGACACAGTAGGCTATGCGATTCAGCTCTGTCACACATATCTGACTATTGTCTGCCTGTTAAGACAAGCTAGAAATAAATTCCAGCCATTTGTCCCTCTGGCATGTCGAATGGAGAGTACTAGCCCAACTACTGACCTCTATTTCTCACAGTTAAACGAAGAAAAAAACTACTAGTAATTTTGTTCTAAAGATGCATCAGTAACTGCTTTTGTTTGTTGCGCTATTTGATTCACCAGGCATTTTGGACTTATACTGACACCTAGTGGTGTGGATACAGAATCACGCAAAAACAAATGTTTTTGTTTATTCGATGCCACTGTAGAAATTTGATATTCATTAGTCAGCAAGGATAAATTTAATCCAAAAATGAAAGTATTCAATAACAGGGGGTTACTGGGGTGAAGTGAGTAGCATTTTTGCTTGTCATGTGATCTCAACATGGCGGCTTTCATGAGGCGACCTGCCCTATGTAGCATAAAACACTGTGGTCACCTCATGTAAATATAGTTGATTTTAAACGTTTTTCAAAGGTACTATTAGCTACTTTTTCTGTTAAACTGTTTTAATGAGGAAAATTAGTACATCTTTAATGCCTTAAAATGTTGTTTATCATATTTCTATACCAGACTCCATCATGTCAACGCTCTCGGCAGAGACAGGCCCTGAGGATGCCAACAATCAGAGCTTCTGGATGGTAAGTGAGAGGGGGAGGAAGAACAGCAATGACTCAGACAGGGTGATGAACCTCTAGAAAATACCATCCGCTTCTTCTTTGTTATGTATGTGTTAGCAGACATGCACGTGGGCGATGTAGGTTGACTAGGTTTTAAAACCTAAACAGTTGGAGCAACAACAGATGACAAGATTTGTTTGGACATTAAAGTGGAACGCTTCACAAAAGCTTCTGAACACTCTAACCAAATGAAGATTAATATTCAATTGAAGTCTATTTTACTTCTTTGAGACTACTGCAGCATGTTTTATGGTTCTTTAAACTTTAATCTCAGTCTGTAAATTTCATCCATTGTGCCTCCACCCATTTTAATTAGCTCAGCTTTTGTCTCTCAGCTCCCCAATCGGTTTGCTTTTCTGCTCTCCAGTGCTGCTGGGGATCATGCAGAACCTTGCCTTTTAATACCTTTATAAATGTTTGAAAATAGTACTCACAGTATTTTTTAGACTGTAGCAATTCTGTAGTATTTTCACATTTGGCATGTTCAGAAGTCTTTCTGTCTTAAAGGGGTCATATGATGCAATTTAAATTTATCCTTTCTCTTTGGAGTGTTACAAGCTCTTGGTGCATAAAGAAGATCTGAAAAGTTGCAAAGACTAAAGTCTCAAATCCAAAGAGATATTCTTTATAAAAGTTAAGAGTCAGCCACGCCTACCTAAAACGGCTCGTTCTAACACGCCCCCACATATCTACATCACTATGTGGGAAGATTTGCATAACGCCGCCCAAATGTTCACGCAAAGAAAGAAGGCGTAACTTTTATTCTCGCTGTAGTATTGTTGCCGCTGCCGCCATGTAGTGAAGGCACTGTGTGATTCGTTGTGAAAGCGAAACTACTTTGTTTGGCCTTCCAAAAGAGGACGATATCTGCTTCGTCATGCCTAGAGCTGATCCGTGCTGGTTGCTGAGGAAATACAACAACTTTGCGCTGTGGATTGCCAGATCAAGTAACTTCCAAATCGGCTTCACCGTGGACGAAGCGGAGTCCATCCCGGGGTCGTCACATGTTGTTGCCGCAAGCCCGCCGGACGCTCCTTCATCGATTCCGCCAGCCACGCCATTCTCAAGCCCGCCGCCTCTGCTCACTCTAGCCTTCCGGCCGTTCCTCACTCTAGCCCTCTGGCCTCTGCTCACTCTAGGCCGCCGTGTGTCATGCTGTGTTTTGTTGTGAAAGCGAAACTACTTTGTTTGGCCTTCCAAAAATGGACACGACTAGAAATCAGTGGTTAAGTTGTATTTACAACACTGTTCCAGAACACTTCAACCCAAATATTCAGATGTGTGCAGCACATTTTATGGAGGACTGTTTCCTGATCCTGGTAGAGTAGACTACAATGCCGGCTGTTCTGACTCACAGACTGTAAGTACGTTTTTTATATTTAAAGAATTTGCCACTGATGATTCAAACGCGAGTTTTGGGCAGTGTAGAGTAGGGCTTGTTGTTTGTAATTCCTCCGATCAAAAATGCAGACATGGTTTTATGTTTACAAGGCGCAATGCAATGCAACGCGTAAAAAGACAGTATAAGTCATTATAATCCATAATTATGTCCCCACTGGATGCAACCAATGCCTCGTTTGTAATGGGTTTTCATGTTTTTGAATCGTCGCTCAAGCCTGACAGGGCATCACAGTATGGTGAGGGGCATAACATTTCCATCACACGCTTGAGGTATTCGGCCAATCATAAAGCACTGGATAGCTGGCCAATCAGAGCACACCTCGCTTTTCAGAACGATGAGCTTTGTAAAAATCGACGCGTTTCAGAAAGGCGGGGGATAGAGGAGAAACAATAATGTACAGTATGTGGAAAATTATGTGTTTTTGAACCTTAAACCGCATAAACACATTTCATTACACCAAATAATGTTCTTTTTAGCAACATCATATGACCCCTTTAAAACTCCCTATGGATAAAAATGAGGTGTATTTGCTCATGTTTCAAATTTTTTACATTTAGTTTTCTGTTTTATATTAGTGCAGTAGGTAAACTATTCCTAATAGGTTCTTATGATACTAATAATGGTAATTATGTGATGATACTGTTTATATAATTACATATAGGTACTATTAACTGTCATGTTCATGTTCAAACTTATATTTAGTTAGAAAGTAAATAGCAAGCTGTTATTTAGCAGTTGCTTTTATCCAAAGCATTACTGCATTATACTGGAAACCTTCTCCTCAGCACTGTTGTCTTTATTTTGGCACCTCTTGGAAGCCCAACAGAAACCAAAAAGCATTTTTAGATTTCCATTAAGATATTATTTAATCTATTTATTAAATTGATTTATATTCATTTTCCTGGGGGCAGTTGGCTTGTCCCGATAAAGTAGGTAATTTTGGGTTTTACTGCCTTTTTTTGGGACCAAATGATCATTAAAATGTATTTTCATTGCTAAAAAGTAGTTTTGCATTTACAGTAATTGAATATGCATGTAATTGTATCCCAACATATACACTGTAGGTGAATTTTATCTGATGAATATTTATGGAGTTTCCTGTGGTGATTTGTTTTTATTATCAATGACATCTAGAGCTCTTTGAGAGCTGTATGAAGCTGTTTAAGATTCTCCTCAGCTCTCTTTTTAGCCTCAGCTCTTTTTGCAGAGTTGCCATCCCATCTGGAGCTGGGCCAGTGCTACGGTTTTAGGTGAAATGCTCTGACCAACGATGTTCTGTCAGTTTACAACAACCGCACTGCTATAGCCTGCAAGGGTTTTGTTGCATGTCCTACCTTTTAATTGGCTGGCCGCTGACCAGAACTGAGCGCTGTAGGGTTTTTGTGTACATCCTAGACGCTGTGATTGGTTAACCACAGCACTGGCTGTAGATTGCAGTGACGAAATGCAAAAAGTTTCAGCCAGAGTTGAATGGCGTTGATTTTTAAATAGGCTTGTTTGATCAGTAAAACAGTTCTGCTTAAATATTGTGCAGCTTTGAGTCCAGCTGAATGTTATATTCCGTTTGACGGGGATTGTGTTATTTGTTTGATTTCTGTGATTCTCTGATTGGTTGGCAGGTGCTGTTCTGCACCGCTCTTGGCTGGAGTTGAGATTCCTCCGCTGTTTTTACTTTTTCCTCAGACTGGGGAAAATACGTGGTGCAAACCACAGCTAAGAGAGAGAGAAAGAGGAAGAGTCGACAAAGAATTACACAGAAGGAAGATGTAGAGGAGAGAGATGAATTGATTAAATTGTGGGGGAGCCGCTAATAAAATGGAAGAACACACTCGACATCAGCAAACACGACGCCCATTCTGGAAATGTCATTATGTTCGCCCTCCTCCCTCATTCTCTCTTATTTATCGTGTTATTACAGTTAATCAACCCCTTTCACTGCGCTGTCCATGTGATGCCCCACTTACCGTGGCCTGAATTCTCTCGACTTGCTGGTACTCATCTAGTCGCAGATGTTTTTTTTGTTTTTTTTCGGGGGAATAATATTTGAATTGGGTTCTGGTTTTCCACACCACATGTTGTCTTTGGATGTTTATATTCGAAACAAACCTTACCCAATACCGCTAACTTGTTCAGTCCATAGCAAACAAACTCAGTGACCCTGCTGGAAAAGAAATGAGGCCAGTCCCTCAGAGGAGAGAGGGACGTCTTTCCTGTGTCGTACAGTAAATACCGCACTCTTGACCTCTTAAACAGCCTACAAACCTTTAGTACCAAGTGCTATTCTTTCATTTTCCTTTCCTTCTATATTTTACAATTAACCTTTTAGTTTCATCCATGTTCTATCTGTCTGTGTCTCAGCCAGGGAATTACCAGCAGACAGTGAAGAGGACAGAAGATGCCTTCCAAGCATGTAATGATATAGTGGCATGTTTCCAAGAGAGGGCCAGGGTCGAGAGACAGTACGCGCAGCAACTTAGCGAATGGAGTACCAAGTGGAAACCCCTAGTGGATGCCAGTGAGTACTGCATTTTTGATCAAGATGTTCTGAACAGAAAACAAATAGCTTCCTGCTTATTGTGCGGTATGTACTATATATTAATATAATCAATAAAATGCAAAGAAAAAAAACAGATGACTGTACTTTTAAACAACACAATTTAGTAATCCCTAATACGTGTAAAGTGACATTTTTGATTGGCATTCAAGAGGACCTGGGTTGAAATCCTATCTGATATATGGACCAATATTTTTGATATATATATTTTATTAAAGATACAGTAAAAAAGCATTTATATTGTGAAATATTATTACAACTTACAATTGTAAGTTACAATTACAAATGTTTTCTATTTTAATATATTTTAAAATGTAATTTATTCCATGCTGATTCTGTGCTCAAGAAAAAAAAATTCAGGATTGAAAATGAATAGTATGTTCTAAATAACAGCATTTGTATTCATTTATTATATAAATATACAGTACCCTCCACTAATATTGGCACCCTTGGTAAATATGAGCAAAATTGGCTGTGAAAGTAAATCTGCATTGTTTATCCTTTTAATTCGTCATTCAAAAATTCACAAAATTCTGACCTATCATTGAAGTAAAACAATGGAAAGTGGGGGGAAATCGCATTATGAAATAAATATATATTGCTTGTTATATAAAAAATAGCATTCATAATAGTAAATCATTGTAAATTATTTATGTCACATTTACTTATGTTGATTTCTTATAACATTACAACAGTTCTAATTCAATGCTAATTTAACATGACCTGACTGTTATTTAATTCAACAAGTTAAGGAACAATCAATGATTAATTTCCTGATTATTTTATTATGATTAAAAAAATAATATTAATTAAAATAAAATAATATAAAATTATTATTTGCAGTATATACTGTGCAGTATATACTGTATATTGCATGTTATTAAAAAAAATATGCATAATAGTAAATAATGATAAATGTTTTATGTTATGTTTACTTTACAACATTACAGTAATGCTAGTATGCTAAATGATTGTGACATGACCTCACTATTTTAATTCAGAGTTAGACTCAGACAATACAAGCATATTGCTTACAGTATACTGCATGATATTTAAAAATAGTATGGCGTAAATAACAATACATTTTTTATTGAGCTTATGCTTACCTCAGTGTTTACCTTATGTTTATTTAATTAATGTTAGAACTATGCTAAACACATGCTATAATGTTGTCATTTGACTTCACTATTTTGTTTAATTCAAGTTCATCTCAGGAATAAAAATGATTATTATGAATTTTATTTGATCAAATTTAGTCTGAGAATAAGTTCAGTTTAACAGAATGATCAAATAATAAATAAATAATGAGAAGGAGAAAGTAGTAATCACAGGTGATATGTTATATGCCACACTGGAAATGAAACAACAAATTTGCACTGGATACAATATTTCCCACATTTGAGCAAATGTTGGTTTTAAATGCTCATAAAATTTGGCATACTGTTGAGTGTGTACAGTGGGTACGGAAAGTATTCAGACCCCCTTAAATTTTTCACTCTTTGTTATATTGCAGCCATTTGCTAAAATCATTTAAGTTAATTTTTTTTCCTCATTAATGTACACACAGCACCCTATATTGACAGAAAAACACAGAAATGTTGACATTTTTGCAGATTTATTAAAAAAGAAAAACTTAAATATCACATGGTCCTAAGTATTCAGACCCTTTGCTGTGACACTCATATATTTAACTCAGGTGCTGTCCATTTCTTCTGATCATCCTTGAGATGGTTCTACACCTT